TTCCTGAATGTACATGACTTTTGCGAATGTTGACGTAGAGGAGAACTGCCGAGCATGACGGCCGACCGATTTGTCACTGGCGGGAGTCCCAGTCGTAGCACTTCTGTGGCAAACACTTGTTCTCCAATTATTTATTTTTTTTGATTATTTATGAATGCAATTTTATCACATGATTTCGCCAGAAATCAGCCGTGATAAACTTCCTTTTGCTAATGGCAATTCAGAAATCTTGCTACGAAATTGTTTTTGTTTGGATCTTATCCATGGTGTCCCATCTATCCACACTGTAATTTCAAGGTATCGATGCCCAATAGAATGATGTGTGATATTTCAGAGAACTCCTTCCATCAAAAACAAAAAAAAATGAAAAAAAAACTTATTCGTCCCGTAAGAACACTTTCTTTCCTTTTCCTTTTTTCTAGATTACCTTTATGTTTGCTTCACCTTAATTTTATAAATTTCTCAGAGTTATCACAATTATTGCTATTTCTTCTCCTTCGCTTTTCATGTTTTTGTCAATCATTGTTAGCTGAGAGACAGGTGAAATGAAAGATCTGCACGGTGTGGTGGTGAACGCGTTAACCCACAGAAAACGTAATAGCGTGTTCGTTACCCATCGCAGGCACCTGCAGTCGGGAATTTTGCAAATATCTCAGCACCATTGTAGTTGTATCAGATATAGTACCCTGCCGTGAAAAATTGTACTAAGCAGTAAATAAAAAAGTTAACGTTGTGATTTTAACCTTTATTTTTAACCCCGTTGCTCTTTTATCATAATCACTTCTCTTTGATTCTGCAATCGAATTAGTTCCTTTTCTAGAAGCTTCCCAAGTTTTCATCTGGTCGAAGCCGATCTAATTAATTTTTCTTTCTGATTATTCTCAGATTCCTTCTTCTAGTATTTCTGGATGTCTTCCTAGGTAGCAAATTTCTACGATTGATGAGAATGCAATTATTTTACTGGTTTTCTTTCAACAGCTAATAACTGGTTCTTCTCACTTTCTTCGTTTTTAGTAGTGAGACCCTTAGGGGTTTCAAGGCACGTAGTTTTGGATACTCGATTGATCTGTCTTGAAGAGTCTTGCGAAGCTTAACACATAAGAGGAATGATTGAGCGATTTCGAACTTGCTCACCCGAGACACCCATGTCGGGTTATTACTAGGTCTCCACTACAGGTGCTTGGCGTAGTTGTTGGATCCGTAGAGGTTTGCCACATTAGGACTAGCGTTTGCAGCGGCGATTCCTGGTATCCGTTTATTGTCAGCTCGAGTTTCAGGGGGAAACGCCGAACCTACCACCTTAGGTGATAAGCCGAGAAAACTAGACTCTACTGTAATTGCGTGTTGACATCGGGAAATACGAGGTAGCCGGTCGATACGGTGAAGCGATAAATTATTGAGGTGGGAAATTGCGAGGTCCACTTAGGAACTTGGTTATCCTCTATTGAATATCTTTGTCATTGTATTAGATACTAGCACTTTTACATTTTTCGAAAGTTCACTAGGAGTGGACGTTCGATTTATTTTACTCGTGTATTTCCCAACACTAATTGCCGTAAAGAGTTTCGGAGTTCGAGTAGTTAGCTGGATGTAAGAGAAAATTACCGTTGTGCTGCTCGTTTCTGATTTAATCGCCTCAGTTATGCTCGGTTTCTCCATTGTTATTGTTCGTAAAAATGGGAGCTCTGTAGATGTTTTTTTTTTAATTTGTTTAACTTGGTGATGGGGCAGACTTTGGCCAGGCTGTCCTCGGGATTCCAGGGAACCACAATGGCTTAAGCAACAAATCTCCGAAAAATAGTGATTATGCTGGGACCCGCACAACTAGTTATGACAGGCCGTTCAAGTATCAATTAGGTTAACTTGGTGACTGAGATTGAAGGCTGGTATAAGGAGAAGCCGCCAAGTCAGAAATTCAGAGACTACTTCTCTCCTGTTAGATCTATAGCAGTTGTAGTGGGCCATCGTAAAAAAACTGACGGGGTTCAGCTATGTGCTCCACGTTGAAATATCGTTATCGCTTTCAGTTTCGCACGTTTTCCTCATTAAGAGACCATCATTACTGGGATAAGGAGCGTTGAACGTTTTGCACTATGTGTGGTACAACCACATCCTCTACTCCTTCGTTATGGATCGATATTTGGTGGATTTCTTGTCAAATAGTAAAATATGGACTTAATCACATGTTCATCCAGCACTCAATACAGCTGCCCAGATCGTTCATATTTCATTCTTCTGTCACTTTTTATTTTCCTAAAGGTACTAGTCCAGTAGCCTTGATTTGACATCTAACTACCCCACCCAGATGTTTCTCTTGGTCGTGAAGTAGTCGCGACGTGGCCCCGAAGGACAGTTGCGGTTGTTATTGGATCAAGATGGCTCCGGCAGCAATGCCCAAGCGGCTGGTAGTAGCTGTTTTCTGGTAGTCGGCCGATGCCGCTCCTGAGTGGTTTTGTGTATTTTTTCTTCAATGGCTGGAACACATGCTTCATGTCTTCCAGTGAACTACGTTCGACCGACTGCAGTACAGCTGTAACATTATGGAGAAGAAATTTCTCAAGGAAGACCAACTTTACGAGTGTATAGGTGTCGTATAAATTATGAAAACTTGGCTGTTAAACGGTAGCTTGACTGAAAATTGAATAAAATGTTGGCTTTTGAGAAGAAGAATAGGTCACATCAAGACCTTCTTATAAAAAAAAGGATAAAGCTGTCGGCGTTGACCAATTCATGAGGGATACGCTATGCATTCGACTTCATTAGGGTTCGTTTGGAGGTGATTGAATGCATATCTGGTCTTTACTCACGGTGGCCTGCCGATGTATCGAACCAGTGCTGCTATCCTTCCAGACAAGTTTGCTACCAACTGGCCAATTGGCCGACCACGGAAGGATGAAAGGCTTGATGGCCCATGGGCGCGGGGATCGATTCCACGTGTGTGTTGCAGGGGCCTCCGACCACTGCGCCATGCGCGCCCTCAAGACCTTCTTGTTTTAAATTTAAGGAAGTAATGCGGTTAAACACCTTTTTGCATTATTTAAAAAAGTACTACTATAAATTTAACGTGTTCTTTTAGTATCAATGGGAAAGTACTTTTTCTTAGTACTATTGGGGAAGTTCATCTGAAATTTCGGCTAACTTCAATTTTCAATGGGTCCATTGGGACAATTTCGAGTTGAAAAACACCGACTGACTCGATCTCCTTGAGCGGGTTTAGTCAATGACATTCCCGCTAATGATCATGTACTCAACATGATTGGTTCGCAACAAACTGGATATTCGGATAGGAAGAAAGGTTAGCCTGGTAAGAACTGCCCGCCGAGTTAAGGTTATAAAACGCTATGAAGCAAAAGAACACTTTATATCGTTCAACACCGATCCTTCAATGACACTTTTTGGGTTATCAAACCATGAAACCTTTCCCGAGTTTCCTAGATTATCCGTTTCATGTTTATCAACAGATCGATTTCTTACTTCTCCAAGAACTCCTTGAATCTTCACGACTTAAGTTGGCTCTTGCAGAATTGCCGTTTCATTCGTATCTTGGTGGTTAGACAGGCTTTTTTTTATTTGGAAATCCTGGATCGCTGTTCCAGAACATTTTAAATTCGACAGTGGGGGTTGCTTATGGTCATGGGAGGTTCGTTACCATCCCAGTGGAAATATTTTCATGACAACGATATTACGAGACGTAGTTTGACATTTCGCTGATGTTTTGGATAGAAATGTCGGAGTGAAATGTCGAATTGACTTGAAATCTTTCTGCTTTTCTAAGTTGCAGTTGTGGGCACACCGTAGCTATCATGGAGCGTTAAACCATAGAATGGGAAGGAATGAATTCGTATATCTCAACGTGGAATCCATCGAATATGCTGATAGTCCAGCATTTTTGTGGAACATATGAATTTGCTGATGTGGGTCGGAGGTTACCAGCTTGTAAAAGACCGTGGTAAATGTACGGGTGACTTATAGATACTATGGTCGCATTCATATTCATCCCATCGTTTATATACGATTAATTCGGATTCGCTTTCATATTCAGTACCATTCAGTCGTAGTGAAGTGTCACGATCACTCCTAAAGCGTTCGCAAGAGGAATAGAATGTCGGAGCAAAATATTTTGCCTAGTACTTTAAGACCTTTTGGTTCTGTAATGAATATTATATTTCTCCTTAATAAGATTATAACGTTGCTTTACGTGCTTCTTAAAAGACACTAGCCTTTCCTACCACTCAAAGCATCTCGTGTAACTGCAATCCTTCAGCGAACGTTGTCTTCATTCCTGTTTCTCGTACGCTAGCCGATGGTTCTTCGTACTAGTTTTATTCTCATTAACAATACCACTTTGCATCGACAGAACTACATTTTTTTTTAAAGTTGAACTGGTCGTTTGGGCAGTTTTACACATCTTTTAGATGCATGATGAGTTTATTTTACTGCCACTGGGGCTTGTCTTTACTGGGCGGGGTGACGCTTAGGCTTGTAATGTTTTACCAGGCCGTAAAATTCTAGAACTCTTGCATTTTATGTGCTTCTATTGATGCTTCATGTTTACGACTTCAGTTAATATTTTCATAAATCCGATCAGAGCTCTTAAAAGTGCGTTCGAAGTGGGGGTTTCTAAGCCGGGGAATTGTACTATAATATAAAGAAATTAGTCCACTCATTGTGTTATAGCTTCTTTTTTAACTGGCTAGCTGTGAAATATGATATGTGACTGGCCTAGAAAAGATAGGTAAATGGAGAATAATCAATTATGAGTAGCGAAAAGTAGGCAAATAAGCGAAATGTGCGATGAGCTTCTTACTGCCTCTTTCATTAATCATGTCTTCGTTCATTGATTCGACCAATGAGTCACTCGTTCCATGCATGGTGGTTCTTTTCGCCTTCGAAGCAGTGCTGTTTGTGCCTCTTACTACTGGTCCGATTCCCCCTTCCGAATCACTCTTCTCTCTTTCCAGGCTTTCGCTACGGTCGGTGGCGGTGCGACGTCACTCGTGATGCCTGAGTTCAGTACCTACAGTTGCCGGGTGCAGTACGTCGACGACAGCGACCCATTCGCTTCGACGTCGAACGCATTCCTCGAGCCGATGCGGCCAGTGACGTTCGCCTTCAGAATCCACGAAACCATCGCCGACCAGTTGCCTGAGGTCATTCGTACGCTCAGAGCGCCGCATAAGGTTCGTCGATCATTATTTTGCTCTTGCTCTTACAAAATGGACGCCTGTGATATTATTCTACACTAAAGGAGGAACTACAGATAATAAAATTTTTCTACAGATAATAATAAAAAAAATAAAAAAAAGGAATAAAATTCCTCAGCCAAATGCCATTTATGAATGAATGTGGGGCACACATCCTTTCTAGAGTCCATGCCATTTCAATACAGAGGGCCTAGAACAGTGACAATTTAGCATTTTTTTCGCTACGATCTTCTTTGTAAGCGGGTATTTAACAAGACCTAAAACAGCGCTAAACTTCGACGAGAAGGAAATTCTTCAAAATTCTGCTCAATCTCGAGTTATGACTATAAATAGTGTTTCACTGTCTATCCCTAAATCATTCTCATATTTTGGACGTTTCACATGCTTTTACTTTTTACGTTAAACTTTAGAACTGGAGACAAATAGTAAAGCAGATCTTTTCACCATTCGACTTCTTCATACTAAGTTTTCGAATCGGTCTAATGAGAATGAAGCGCAATGAGTTCCTGTACGCATAACTGTTATGCTGTCAATGACTGGTTAGAGTGCGAGCTACTTTAAGCCGTATGATCCTCGTTTATGTCGCTATTGGAGCAGCAGTTCTTGGTAGCAGTTAACGTCATGCTGTAGCTTTTTCCGTTCACAGTAATGAGTTTATGAGCTATTTGGCCTTCCTGTTCATGACACATCCATCTCTCTTGTCACAAAACTGCGTGCGATAGGTGAGTCGAAGATAAATGGAAAATAAATACTGGCTTCCTTGGCAGTAATGTCCACTTAGGAAACAGAGATTTATAGTGGTTTTGACGAATCTCTATCAGATTTTAATAGCATCTCCATCCGAATCTCCATCCGATTTGAATAGCATTCGCAGAAGAGCGTTCGAAAATCAACCTCATAGCTTGGAAGACAGTTGAAAAGCAATACATCGTTTCATTTCTACCGTAGCAGTCATTCTCTGCGGCCAAATAGAGAATATGCCTCTCATGCGGTCGAGCATCTGAGTCGCGTCATGGAAACCGATCGTTTTATTTAACCAAATCCAGCGGCAAAGAAGTTTCTCGAGAATGCCGAGAACAAACTTTCTTCAAATTTTTTATACCTTTAACATTTAAATAGCGCTCTGTACTTGAAGTCTGTTTCGGTTTTGTGCGCTACAGTTTCCTAGTGATTACAACCAATAAGGACGCTCTGTTTAGAGTACGAAGAAAGTAGGAATAGAGGAAGAATAATTGATCGAACAAAATGACCCCATTTATAATGCTGAAATTTCTCATTCAGTGCAATTGGTGTTGATTGGTCCTCAAAGGTTTTCTTCTGTACTTTCGCAACTAACAGCCTTGACGAACGATGGGAGGTCCCGCATTGAAAATTACTCAAAACACTGCTTTGAAACTGAAAAAAACAACCAGCCAGTATCAGGTTTTAGACGTGCCAAAAAACAACTGTTCAGCAAAACGCATCGAAAATCGGTTTCTCTAGTGTTTGATATGCTCGCAGTGTTTAGTAGAAGAGTTCTTCAATGTCTTGTCACATATTTCGCAAACAGGAGCTGTATAAAAAGGCAACAAAAAATACTTATTGTACAAATCGAAGCATCAGTGGTAGCAAAAATTACCAATATCGATTGACGTTTAACCTTAGTGAACTACAATATCGATCTCTCAACCAGCAGTTCAAGCGCGCGTGTGGCGCAGTGGTCGGAGGTGCCCTGCAACGCCCACGTGGAATCGATCTCGCGCCCATGGCCCACCGAGCTTTCAATCCCTCCGGGGCCGGAAAACTGGTACCAAGCTTCTCTGGGAGGATAGCAGGATTGGATCGATACATCGGTAGGCCACCGCGAGTCATTGTAAAAGCCGGATATCCATTCAGTCACCTCTAAACGATGCTTATTGAAGTCGAATGCATGGCGCATCCCTCAAGGATTGATCAACACTGAGAGCTTTATCCTTTTATCCTTTTTAACCGGTAGCTCAAGTGCAAATTTTGAAATTGTCAAGCCAATTTCATCGGTATACAACGAGAATATCGGTATCGAAAAGCATCTATCCTTGACTAGTCATAATTCGAAATATACTTTGAACCCAGTGGAAAACAGCAATAAGCACTAGATAAGAGTTCATGTCTTTTTGGTCGGACATTCGCCGTCTGTAGCGCAGTGCTCTCTTGCTGATAACAACAAATCTGATCGATGATCCGTGCAAAGTAGGAGTGTTTGAGATTGATAGAAATCAACTATAGACGTTATTTCATTCGTGGCGTCCTCTGTTTCGTAGTGAGCAGTGCGTTTAACTTAAGCACAATGAACAAAGCTATAATTGGTGCTCCATTCCTGCAACAGTTCTGGCGATCTCATTCTATTCGACTGTCGTTATCAGTTTTTCAGCCCGGTGACTCAGCTTTGCAATTATACAAAAGTCTGGAGAGAGGCGGTGGCGAATTTCTCAGTTATCTCGATAGTGAGCTAACGCTAGCCGATCAACGCGAAGAATTCGAAGAGATGAAGAGCGACAGGTTGGTGCCATTCGTTAAGATGCTCTTTTTTCATCTGAGCGATTAAAGTCGTCTCATGAAGCCATAGGATCTTTGTGAACTCTGGTAGACTTTGCTCATGGTTATGAGCTTTTCATTTCTGTGAAGCATTTCTGAAACGAATACAGTAGTGTGAAGGTGGATTTGGCGATATTAATCAAAATTTCAACTCACCACCATATTCTTGTCGTGTCTGATGCAGTGAATGTTGTCAAAAACCCGAAGTAACTTTGTTTGTTACAAACGGAAGTCAGTCACCAATTTATTTTAAAGTTAGGTCTTCTTGGCACGGGGCTGGGCTCCACTATGCACTGAGTTATGGTAGTGTAAACTTGGTTTTTTAGTGTGAAAATCCAAATGCGAAATTCCAGTTCTACGAGATTCTAAAGAGTACTCTGTACGTTTGACACCGGCGTTTCACTTCCATTTTCAGTGTTCATTGAGCCAATGTGTTTCTAGACCGAGAATGTGCGAAGTTTTCAAGTGAAATAACTCAAAAATTTTACTAAACTTCTGTTGAAAGCTCAATCTGTAATTGCTCAGTTATGATTTGGAGTGAACTTTCTAGAGAGAAGAAGTACGGAATATAGAAGGGATGTTCACAGTTCAAATCATAGAACCTTGTCACCGTATTAATAAGAGCCCATTCAATATTTGTTCTCCTCGGGTGTGTTCTGAGAAGTGATTGTTTCACGAGATAAAAAGTAGTTCGGTAAAAGGAAAGCACATCGGTAATACGTTGTTTATCCGAGAACTCTCTTGGAAGTTTCTGGAAGAGAGCTGGAAGGCAGCACTGATGACGTGACAATCACCGCATTCCGGAGTCGCGCGCGCCATCCTTTCGCCTTCTCGTCGACCCGTGCTGCCCCTTCACTTGGCGCCCCTACTATTGACAGTTACACGTGAAGGCGATGTCTGCATTCGCTGACGACGTTTTTCTAGGCTCCATGGATGTGTAGAGATTGAATTTGTCCCATTTATCCACCTCAGTCTTTATCCGTTGATTCATATTTTTTAGGTTTTGAAGATATAAATCTAGACAGATTGCATTTATTTAATTAAAACATGTACTCTTCCATGAGGACTAACATAGATGCAAATGATGGCTAAAGCATCGTTATGGTTGTTTTCACTTTTAAGCGATCATTGATTTCGTATGAAAGGGAATCCATCACTGAAAACCCTCTAGGCATCAGAATTTATTAGCGATGGGAATGAAATTTGAAACGCTTGTAGAATCACAATTTGCTTTGAATTTGTAAAAAAGGCAGAGATAAAATATACGATTCGAGACCAAACATGAAATGTGGTAAGAGAAATGAGAATCCTAGAAGTTTTCTAGAATTCCCTGTCTTCGCACTGATCTCATTAACTGTTCAAATTTGTCAAAAACCTTACGTATCCCTCCATTCCGGGATTTCTCGCTGGAATTCTCGTAGCAGGGGAAGGCGTGGCCTCTGTCGCGCACCGACAATCGGTGTCACTCTCCCCATGGCGCCTCCTAGACGATTGCGATATTAGGCCATGGAATATTCTCACGCACTATCATATTTGCTGCCCTATTCCGCACAGGACTAGCATGTCTTGCGCCGAATCCTACTCTGTCAGGTGTCCGTTACTGCGAAACGATAAGTTTGCCAACTCGACACCGTCGGTCAAAGCTTCTCTGGCACCTGCAGTACCTACCTATGATGAGATGTTTTCTCAGGCACCGAAGCCAATTCTAAAGACTTATGACATCGATCTGTCAATTCGCATCGATGCATCGACGTCTGCGGCGGCTCCATGTTTGGGCAGGGTCACATGCTCAATCGATGAGGTCGACGCTTACAAATCAAAAACTTCTGGAGCCAAGTTGGATTTGCCACTGATTGTGAAGCCATCGAAGCAACAGATTGGTAGAGAATCTACTCTAGAGAAAAGAAGTGGTGGTATGGAAGCCCGAGAACAGCCGATAAAAGAGCTGCGGCAGCGAAGACCAGAGGCATCAACGATCTGCCGAAGAAGGACTATGGGAGGAGCTGATGATACGAAACCAAAATGGTACTCAACCTCCGTCGATGGCGGTCCTGATTCCTCTACACTTCCGAAGAACTTTCTGAGAAAACCGTCAGTGTTGCATACAGCTGCTCCTGCTCATGTCGAAACAATTCCATACATCGATGATAATATCGCACCACCGCCACCTAAACCAGTCAGGAGTTTCACACATTTCTGTGGGTATTCAAAAAGCCCTCACCAAAGCGAACCTTTAAAAATTTCTAAAGAAACCTTGAGATCAGAGGGATCTGAATTGCTCAGTTGCTTGGCTAAGCCTGTTCAGATAGTAGATCCGATCACCTCCACGGTTAGAAGAGATCCGAAGCCACTCGAACTAACCAGATCGTCATTCTTGCATTGTCCTTCGGACCCACAAGAAAATTTGAACAACTCGTCGAAAGAACTCTCAAAACGATATCCTTGGCAGGTGGCCAGCTCCGATGAATTACCGAAGGAGAAGGAAATATCTCGCGGTGTGAGTCATATTAGAATAGATAGTGGCTATAAATCGGATAGGAAATCGTCGACAGACAGGTCGCCCGAACTCTCTCGAGCAATTATTCCAACTGAAAACAGAGTTACCAACCCCACTATCTCCCCAATTTCACAAATCGACGACGATTCATTTAGCGAGACTGAGTCGGGTAGTGATGTGAGCGATTTTCACTGGGATGAGGACCATGAGAACAGGTTTGCGATATCGTCGCTATTTGGGGGTAACGAGACTATCTAAATTTCACAGTTGAAAAGACGTTTAGAGAGATAAGTCTATACTTTGATACAAATGCCCTCTGTTTGAAATTCCTCACCACTCTCATTGCAGTAAGCGGTACAGTTTGGTGCTGAGGACTCAGACACAATTGCGGGTCAAGGCTATAATAGGTAAGAATTGCTTGTAAGAATAGGGGAAACGTTTTTTACTACTGTTTATCGGTAGTTGTGAATCGATAGGTGTTTTAGTTTTCATTTCGTGTGTATACTTTGTAGAACTGTAGGAGCAAAAAATTCAAAGGTATTTTACTGAATAAGGGAGCGAATAGCACAGTAGCAGTGATCTCCATCATCACGAGCATGGTGCTAATTCGATTCCGTTCCGGGCCAACCAAGCCTCTTTCCCTCCGCGGTCGGGAAATTGGTACCGGGCTTGTCTGAGAAAAACTCACTCTCTGCAATCCAATTGGGAATACTCCAGCCCTGCTATCTCAGGACTCCACGGAGAATTGCTCGATGAGCTTTCCACAATATTCAAGGTGGAATGAAAATCCTCATGCAGCAACCGATGCCACACGTGAAAAGTTGGAAGATCTCCGTAGGCAGTGGATGCGAGGAAACGAATTGAATATGGGAACTGCTGGTATCCACACAGTAGACGTGAAGACGGGTTATATAAAATAAAATAAAAATAAGTAAATTTTGCTGCATTCGATCTTCAAACTAATTGATTTTCAGATAAGCTTCTTTCCAATACCGGACGCGATCAACGACGAGCCTTGTTTTCTCTTAAGAAAATATTCCAGGTGCTTTTTTTCGCTCATAATATTCGAAACCTGTTTTGTGCTAGAAAGAAATTCGATACACTACTTTTTCTACTTCACATATGGATTTCACTAAGAGGAAGGCTCGTTAGTGTAAAAATGATTAGAAGTTCTTCTATCACACCAGGTTCTGCAAAGGAGCTGCTTATTTCTTATAGAGTTTGTGATTTTCTCTCTTAGGACGACCGTGATCTCGTGCCGGAGTTCGTGCAGAATGGTGGTCTCGACTGTATGGTAAGGCTAGGTCGACTAGCAGACCAGAACCATCAGAATTACATATTGCGAGGTACTGCGATGTCCCATTGCTTACCTGTTTTCCTTTCAAAGCTCTATACATCGTCTCTTAATATTGAAGAATAGTACAAGATTTTTCTCTTTCTAATATAGTAGTGGTAACTCGGGTGCGTGTAGCGCAGTGGTCGCAGGCGCCCTGCAATACACATGGGATCGATCTCCGTGCCTCAAGCTCAACAAGCCTTCCTTCCCTCCGTGATCGGCAAATTGGTGCAAGGCTTGTCTGGGAGTATAGCAACACTGACTCGGCACATCGGTAGGCCACTGCGAGTCATTGTAAAAGTCAGATATGCATCCAGTCACCTCAATTATGTTTAATAAAGTCGAATGCATGGCGTATCTGTGAGGGTAGATCAACGCCGAGAACTTTATCCTTCAACTATGGTGGTATACGTGGTAGCGCTATCCAAAGGAATATGACGCTTTCCACAATTTACCACCTATTTGCTACGGACCATTAGTTTTTAAATATTTCTATGAAAAACCCAAATGCTATTTTGCCCTTTAAAAACATGTGATTTGCTTGCTATTCCGAGATTATGCTCTCTTCATTCATTCCATTCGATCTAGACCAGATCCACCGCCAATCGTATTTAGTATCAAGAGAAATTAATCTAGTATATGATGGACTTGCAATTTGCTGCTTACTTTGCTGATTGCAGCTCTCGGTCAAGTGATGCTCTATGTGGACGGCATGAACGGCATCATTGCCCACAACACCACCATCCAATGGTTGTACGAACTGCTCGACTCTCCGGTGAGTGCTAACCTATTCGTCTCATCATCGTCATCGTCCATATTGTTCGCCCATGTGCTTTTCATTGTCCGTATTCTGTGTATATCGTTTAGTTGTACAGTGAGTCTGAACGTCAAGAAATGAGCCCATATCGGCTCGAATGGGTGAGCTGCATGATTGTATGGATTTTCATGTCATCCCCGTATATGAATTCGAGTTCCTAACTGTATGGTTGCCATCTTCCCCTGTTTTTTGCATACTTACTCGACATTTCTGGTATTAATGTTCTGTGCGAATGCGAAAGCTAAAGTAACCGAAATCACCGATAGATACCATGCAGTCAAATCTACCACTGTCAGATGCTAATTTTTTATTTTTCGATTTTCATATAAATCGCCATCACACATTGTGCGCATCCCAAAATCTCTTTCATTTGTTTCGTTGTGTTATATCATTCATCTATGAGGGTGCTCAGATTTTCTGGAATTGTTGTCTTTATGAAATTTCGTCGAATGTTGGTCGATCTGAGTCTTCTTGGAATCTCGGACTAACACGACTAAAATGTTCTTAAAATTTCAGCAGAGCGGTCGCCTCACTTGTGCATGGAATGGCGATTTTCTTAAAGGTGTCTGATACTGTCTCCTATATGGAACGGGGAAAAAGTTTTCTATTGGCCTGGTACTCGAACCAAGTAAAGGTCGTGCGTGCGTTGTATACCATCTCTAAGCATTGTGCGACTTGGATTCTGGAAATGGTCTTTAGTTGATGTTAAAATAGTATCGATTTTCGTGAGCACAAGGATGTCGATAGTTTAAGAAATTCTTCGCCTGACGCTGATGTCAATCGTGGCTGGATGTTTCAGAGAAAATGGATTACATTATAGACGACGAAATATGATCCGCCATATATGGCCCGAAAATAAGCTAGCTATATAACTTTAAACAAGCATATCGCAGGTTTATTAAGTGGAATAAGGCTCATTTCAATGTACATGCAGTTGCCAACAAGCCACAAGTTTATTTTTATTCTGTCACAACAAAATCCTGATCTATGGGTACGTATGAACGGCCTTTTTTCGAAGTCCTTTCAAAGGTTCAGACCTCGGAGAGAGAAGAGAGTGAGCACATGGCAAATCATCCAGCCGGATTTAATGACATCTCCGAATGCATCTCTGATGTCTGCGGCTGCCAGGATTGCGTTAAGAAAAACTGGGACTTTTCTTTTAATGGTTGGAGTTTCAGACAAATATTGTTATTATCTACTATACAAAGCCCGAGACCGAGACCGCATATATCACACTGTGCAGATCTCAGCACTTCTTGTATTCGATTCGTTTTATGGCATTCACCATCTGCGTAGGTCTTCGAACATTTTTCATGTGGCTTTGGCTATGTCTAGAGGATTTTTTCGTCTTCATCACAAATGGCATTGAATGCCAGTCGAGTCGATTGATCTTGAAAGAACCGTGCTAGAGTGTCCCTATTTGGATGAGGGCAAGTAAGCTTGTCCCAAAGAAATCTGGTACCAGACAAATATAAAACTGGGATGACTCCTTACAACAAGATGGTGTCATTAGGGCAGTAGAACGAATTCTCCTCCTCTATGACTCCATCATTCATCATACTTTCAGTTGAGTTATTGAATTAACTATTACGGAGTAGTCGACATCGCCTCGAATATGTTAAGATAGTGGTTGACTGTCTATCTGAATTCACATGTTTCTGATGTTCACCATAATTCAGTCGCTCTAGCTATCATCTGTTTCCCAGGTTTATGTTTGATTCTTCTTTTTGATGAATTTGAGCATGCTTGTTCTATGTATTGTTTATGTAATGTGTTCGAAAATGTCATGTTCTTGTGGGAAATGTCGCTTCGGAATTGCACCTTCAGATGACTGACTGTCATTCGAAGCACTACTGTAGCTCAAGGAGCTAGGTTAATAACCACCGATTTGATGCGAATCGATGGGATTCCTATGTGTTTTCCTAACCAACATCGATTGTTATTGAAATGTTTCTCTATCTCATCTATTTTCTGGGGACTTTCCCTGTGTGCCAGAAATATTATTTCCGCTACCTACGTTTCTCGTTTAGTTTCGTTTGGTCGTAAAGACGGCATTGAAGTTGTTGCTAGTCTTCATCGAGTACAACGACAACAATGCTCTGTATGTGCTGGCGGCTATTTCAGCAGTTGATCGAGCCAAAGGTTTGGTGATGTTTCATTGTTTTTGAAGGTAACACTGAATTTTGTGGCGTCCATCGATGATCGCATGGATGAAGAGTCTTTGATCACGGTGAAAACGGGAGGCGATTCCCATAAGGGCAATCGACTGTGCGGGACTGAGTTGGCACCTTTTCCTATTCAATTACAAGTTTGTACGAATATATTGTATTCCATGGAATGAAGATATTTTCCCGAAAATCATTTCTTATATAAGATCATTTTAGATGACAGCAAAAGATCCCGTTCCTACTTAGTCGTCTCAAACGTAAATCTTTTTAATAACGCATTGATCGGGGTTTAATGTGATTTAATCCCTCGAAGTCGTCAAAATGTTTTGGTATTGCGCCAAGAAAACAATGGAGTAAAACTCGTGCATTAACACCTTATGCATAGCCTTACCTAAGATAACTTCTATAAGAAAACCCCGGTATCTTTCAGTGCTATTTTCCTACTGATGAAAAATTGTTATGTACTATGTGATTGGAACTTTATTGTGGGCACATAGGGAATGTGATATGTCGGCCGACCGATGACAGAATTTTAATATAAGCTCTTAACAGTAGCATGTTTTATTTCACCATGGGCTTGTCACCTTTATGGGGAAATTTCTCGACAAAGTGTGTTCGAGTTTTTTCAGAGACTTGTCCTCAACTTAAGACAGCATTGATCAAGTTTTTTCTTTGTAGTGTCAATGGAACCGTAATGCTTCTTTTCGTAACTCGATTGTTATTGAAATGTTTCTCTATCTCATCTATTTTCTCCACATTAGTGATTTTCAATCCTTCTCATGCAATGCCGTGATCTCAAATGTGAATCATTCATCCACTCGATCGATGTTCTTTTACAGGTCAACAAGATTGGAGTGGTTTGATGAAGGTCGTCTCCGAAAAGGATTCACCAGATCCCGAAACTCTCGTCTACGGCATGACTGTCATCAACAAAACGCTTCGCGGCATTCCAGACAGTGTACTCTTTTGTTTTTTTATTTTTAATTAACTCTATTATTTTGACAATTGAAATTGTGTTCGAAACTAAGCATTGCTGGGAAAAAGTTGAGATTACTGTAGTTAAAACAAATTCTTCCTCTCAACGGTTTACCGCCTCATAGTGGCTGGGTGTTCGTATGTGTCGGACTGCGATGTACAGCGGATGGATTCGTTCCCCTGGCAGGGTCTCTCAAGCTGAGAACGAGTTCGGCGTTTTCTTGAGGAAGTCTAGCTAAAAGTAAGGCAATACCAGGGTCCACCGCCGTCCTGGTATCAAATTAGTCGGATGGTGGCAAATCTCTCTCTGATCGACGCTGCAACTGCCTGTGGCTGTGACGACCTGGTGCAGACTTTGGCCATGCTGACCTCGAGATTCCAGGGAACGACAATGGCTAAGCCAGCAAATCTCCGAAAAAGTGGAGATTATGCTGGGGCTCGCATAACATAACATGAGAACGGGCCATTTAAGTGTTCAAGAGTAAGTAAAACATATTCTTTAGGAGCAGTGATTTACGTTGTCTCTGCATCCACTGTTTTGCAGGCTTCTGTAAAATAAGCAATTTTTCTTTCATTTTTACAAATCCGCCAATTGCACTATTACCCTTTGCGTCTCTATGGCTGATTATAAATAGACGGATACGTAGATTTCGTTGAATTCAGGACACGTTCTATGACGCAGTGGACACGTTGGAAATGCTGGGTATGGAGGAGGCGATGAAGAGCATGGCAAAACTGGCGAACAACGAGCTGCTCGAGCAGTGTCGCTTGTACGAGCGCGAATTGACAAAGGAGGACGAGCGGGCCGACGCCAGCGACGACGACGCCAACGCCCGGATGAGGTGGGCGATCGCTCACATGCTTCGCTTCCCTACGACCGAGTTGGCACTAATCCACACGGTTATCTCACCCAGCATCTGCACTGTCTCTTTGTCGAGCTTTCGTTTCAGTTCTAACCGGTTTAGTCAGCCACTGCACGCTAGTGGTTCGTAGCAACTCATCTAATATGGTTCAAATGAACCGAGTCGTCTATTAGTGTAGAGAGAACAAAAGCCCATGGTACATGTGAATTCAAACATTGATTTTACCGAAGGGAAATCCGTGCCTTTCGATCACTCGAGTCGTGGATTTAAACAGCGAAAAATTCGATGGTTTCGATTTTATAGAGAGAAAAGAGTTGGGAAAGACGAAATTTTTCTTGTAATTTTCTCTATACGTTGTTTGGAAGGCGTGGGTTTCATGCCTTAGGTTAAAATAAGGGTTAAAGAAGTCGCTATTCAGAAGTATGGGATAGAGAAGGAAATTTCCTCGTGACAAATTTCTTTACTTTTCGGTAGAAAGAACTATTAGTAATACCTCGTTGTTCTAATATCCTCAAAAATTCGAGTCAGTGGAAGATATTTTTGTACTTTTTGTCACTGAGTGAATACCGATGATTGTTACGCGTGATATTTTGTTTTCACTAACCAAAAATTTCCTAATCTGCCCCTGACATCTTCAGAGGTGCTGCACCGGCGTCTGCTGCACGACGTCGTATGAGCATGACGAAAACAACTGGTGCGTCTTCAAGATCTCTTCTTACGCCACTCATACCAGTTCAGTCTCATCATTCGGCCACCTCATCACCATCGACCACGTCTGCTCCTCTTAATTCATCCGAACAACTGTCACCCGAAACTTCGTTCTACAAACCAGCAAACGGATGGTCTTACAGTGCCATACCTCTGAGAGCAACAAGAAACGGTGTTCCATATGAGACGGATGAGCCGAGAAAAGAGGATGACAGGATTGAAGAATCATCGAGACAAACGAGGAGACCGGAAGAGCCACCATTCTCGGACTCGCTTTCATCATCCTTGGGAAGTGCATGTGCTCAAAGCATCGCGAAATCGGTCAACGTCAGTAGTTCAAACTGCATGGATAGGTGTGTTATGCATGATTTGTTGAAAGCAGCTGTCTTTGTTTTTGTGAATCTTGGTGTTTTTGGTTTCTGTATGATCCGTGAAAATCGATTTAGTCCAGCATTAACCATTATTTTACGAAATTAGAACCGGCGTTCGTGAATGTGAATGAATGGTTTGCAGTTGCACTTCAATCACAGTTACTGACACAAGACGACAGATACACTGTAATCGCTCCATAATCTCCATTTCTACTTGTGTTTGGCGATACAGGTTGATTGATCAGAGATTTCAGAGCGCCTCCTCAACAGACTGTACAGGAGTCGGACCGTCGAACAACGATGCGACGACGACATCAGGAAGCTCGTCAGCGGCAAGATGAGCACATCGCTTTCGCTCAGAGAAGAAACGTGTTTGCTAAAGAGAAGTGGGTCTTTTTCTTTGATAGCCCTTTAGTGGAACACTGATGATTGATTGATAGACTGTTACTGTTGTAAAGCTGAAGTTCACGTTTTTTTGTACTTTTTGTCTCAACAATAGTATAGAAGAAGTAGAATTCCCAGGGAGATTAGTTCTTTAAGGAAATTTCAAAGTAAAGAAGTTTTTATGAGAGTTGGTAGGTGATTCCGGCGTTTTCGTCGGGAAACCCAGCTAAAAGTAAACTAGTACCAGGAATCAGCACAGTCCTGGTAACAAACTGGTCGTTTCGTGGCAAACCTCCCTTTGATCCACAAGGACGGCGACTGCTTGTGGTGGTGACGAGCTAGGGTAGACTTTGGCCAGGCTTACCTTGGAACTCCAGAAAACCAGAACGGCTAGACCAGCAAAACTCCGAAAAAACGGAAATTGTGCTGGGATTCACACAACCAGTGAAGGCGGGCCATCCAAATATCCAAATAGGATAGGTGACTTGTGGAAATGTGGTAAGAGTTAAACTCCCTGGAGCGCGCACTCATTTTATTGCTATGGAAGGGAAAACAACGAAAAATAGAACAAAGCTGATTAAGGAGCTATGCCAGAGAAGAGTAAGAAGCGGGCACCTTAAGTTTGATGATAAATCTTATAAAATCCAAAAAAGGAAGTTTCTTTTCTACTAAGGAGGCAAAGGTTGGTAATAATGTGCTGTTTATGCAATCATTGATTTGCTCATTTCTTCCTAAATTGAAACAGTGACATTTAAGTGAACCACCTCCTGAGCCGAAGTCCTCATTACCGTGGAGGAACGAGGTCATCGAACACAACAACATTTCTGTGGGCATCTTCATATAACTCTGGAATTGAGTTTCTCGCTATCTTCGCTATGATAAACTGTTTAAGGCGGTGAAAAACGATAGGGCGAAAAGGGTTCCGGAGCCGATTATGATAATGGACGAGCAGAAGAAGCCACCGGAACCGGTTCGAACCGATAGACAGGAGGTTGTCGAACCTATCAATGACACTGGAGAAGAACGCCATGTTTGTTCATTATCTCTACACTTCTATTTCAGTGATTTGTTCAAGTTTACTCTGCTGTTATCGTTTTTACTATTAGAGAAAAGGTAAGACGAATGAAGACGTTAGATATCGAAGAAATATTGGTTCAATTCTGCTTCTGGTCATTAAAGTTCCAGGTTGACTGAGCTTAATAAAGTTTCACGGTTCATTTTGTGTTGAAAATTCCATTTGAGAAGAAAAGAAACCATTGGCCCCCATGCGCTATTTTACCCTTGGAATGTCCTGTTTTCGGAGTAGTTCTAAAAATGGTTAACCGGGTTTTTTCGTGACACAAAACTATATTTTTTCTTGGAATACAGTTCTATGTAATGTTTACAACGTACGGAATAATACCGCACTATATTCCAGGTGAAAGCCCCACCTCCTTCATTTCCCACAATTTTTTCACCCACCGAGACGAAGATAATGGAGTTTCCTGATCCCGTCAAGGAGCCAGAACCGGAAAAAATCGCTCAACCTCCAAAAGCAAAGGTTTGTTTCCAAAAAAAAGAGAAGTGCGAAAAGTGTTTCTCGGTGACGTTCTGCGGGCTTATCTCGGGGTAAAGTAATCATTGGCTCCAATTTTCATATCTTTAAAGGCTGAAGGTTTTCGATTGTGGTCGTTTTAGATTGAACGTGACGATACTGGTGGTGGGTTTGCTGCATTACTGCAAAAAAGAGCGGCTAAATCTGCCGAGGCGAATCGCAATGCTTTCTCCCAGAAGGAGAGCGAGGCAGATATTCAGTGGAAGAAGGTGGGTAGGCAGATGTTTTTATGTAAACGTTTCGCTCGCCTTAATCCATGAGAAATGTGGCTTCGGTGGAGTCAACTCACTATCGTCGCTTATTATTACATTTCAGTGTGTTCTTTTCGTACCTTTTAACATGTTTCGAAATTTGAAAGTTTTCAGGCTGCGGAAAATCTCAAATCGCGTCCACTAATTATCAACGACCTCGACTTCAGCGAATTTCATGCCGAGGAATTCGAGCAAGATCCTCTCGTAATGGCAAGACTCGCCCAAATGGCACAAGACAAGGGAATGTTGCCTAGTAGCACCAGAGTGGGAGTAAACGGTGGAGGTCCACCTCCACCACCACCACCGGGATCAATTCCTCTGCCACCGCGATGTGAGCGTTTGTTGGAGATCTTTGGAAATTTACAAATCAGCGTTTTAGTGAAGAATTTTTTCACCATACTACCGTATAATATTACGAACCCAACAATCTTATAACTAGTCGTTTGGGTGTCTTCAGCAACCACTTTTTTCCTTAAAAAAGTGAAAATTTTGGTGAATTGCACTATGTCTACCATTGCTACAAAAGTTAATTTGATATGTAGTCTACTGCTTACCGTGTGTTAGTATGTGTATTACATTAGTCCTGAAATATATACCTCAGTACAAATTTCTTCATCTTACTTTTTTCTTCCCAGTACAAGGTCAAGCGGCTGGCGAAACACCACCACCTCCTCCTCCACTATTAGGCGGAGCTCCACCTCCACCTCCTCCGAGTTTCAAAAGGGAGACAAGTCCAGGTGATTCTTCTCTACTTTTTATTTTGAAGAGAGGTGAGAGAAAGAGACGGAGAGTTTGCGATGTTCATAAATCACATGGTAAGTGCTGCAGTAACGCTTCAATTTCCCACATTAGACTTTGAAAACAATCAGCTCTTGTTTTTTTATGGGGTGTTTTTAGGAGATGAGCTTCCGTCTATTTATCTAGTGCGTGGAATATTTTGTTGTGAAAATTGTTGGTGCCACCGCTAAGTAGAAAACTAGTTTAAAGAAAATCAAAGTAACGGCCGCAGTGGTGCAGTGGGTAACATTTTGAGCCCTCAGAAAGGGTAATCGCAGATTGGAATCTGGCTTGGGATCCTAATTTTGCAAATATCTCAGCAAAATATCTGTTTGTATTCCACATCATACCCTGTCGTGAAAAAATAATAATAGTAAATAAAAAGGAAGTTGTTACAGTTCCTTGTTGTGGCTAACGGTTTAGCGTCATCGCCTTCTTTAGCGCCGCGATGATTCGACTCCATTCACCTTACAGTGGCTATTCCTCTCCTCGTAGCTCTTTCTAGTCGGGTCAAGTCCACTGCAGTGTTACGTTATATGCCAACTAAATGTAATTTCGACTGCATCAGGTTGGATTCCCACCATGAAAACAAATAATCTTTTTGAGAATGATCCACCAAGATCCCTCCTGAATAAAAAGGCGGTACTGGGTGACGCCACTTCATCCGTGAGGATCTTATTTCCATTGCTTTCGACTCATTGCAACTTCAATGACCCACGTCTTAAAAAGTAACTACTGTGGGTATTCTACTCGAATAATTGGTATTATAAAGAATATGGTGGCACTGGACCTTGATGCACAGTGAAGATTTGTAACAACCTCGTGTAATCTCAACAGTACAAGATATTGATAATTCGTTCCAGAATTAAATGGAAACTTGTTTTAGAGAAAATTACCCCACGTGGATATATTCTCACATGCAAAATTCCATTTCGAGGTACCTAGGTCCATCTACCGGGAAGGGTGTGCTGAAACTGCATTGGAAACCAACCTCTGCTGAGCCACCGCCAGTGCCGTCGCTGAAGAAGAAGGGCTCGTTCTGGAATAAACTCGACCAGCCTCAGATCGACGCCAACAAGCTGGTGCAGTTGTTCGAAACAAAGCACAACAAGGAAGTTGTCGTCAAGGTCAATCACTGTTGTGTCCATCTGTTTTTCTATCCGAATAATTTCTGCAATATTTTTATTTCTCGTTTTTATGCAAGAACAAGTACAATTTGAGCGACTAGTGGATTCCAATAATCTCTCTCTCAAATAACCGTTATTTCTATGAGATTGCCACTGTGGTGTTTGACGAAACTGCGTGGAAATTGTCATCTTATGATATTCAGCTGGGGCGAGTGTGGTGCAGTGGTCGGAGGCGCCCTGCAATACACACGTGGAATCGGTCCCTGTGCCCATAGCCCACCAAGTTCTCCATCCCTCCGGGGTCGGTAAATTGGCACCAGACTTGTCTGGAGGATAGCAGCACTGGCTAAATACATCGGTAGGCCACCACGAGTCATTGTAAAGGCCAGGTATGTACTCAATCACCTCCTACGTTGCTTAGTGAAGTCGAATGCATGGCATACCCCTTAAGGATTGATCAACGCCGAGAGCGTTATCGTTTACCCTTTATGTTGTTCAGCTTAGACCTTCATCACATCTGTTTTGAATACAAAACTTTGCAAAAAAGCTTAACAGAGGAAAATTTTAGAAACCCACTGATTCAAAACCGGCTGTTTTGTTAGTGTTATCGATGAAACGCTCTCAAGCGATCAACATAGGTTTGACCAAGTTGCCTCCTATCAATGTAATACCGACGGCTATTATGGTAGGGCTTTTTTTGATGACTCATATATATCTCTAGCCTTCGTTTTATCTTTTCTTCTATTCAGAAGTTTGACTCAATGGTTCTGAATAAGGATGGGATAGAAAAGATTTTGAAAACGATGATGCCGACGGCGAAGGAGGTGGAAGAAATCCAGGAGAAGCAATCGGAGAATCCGGAAATGACTTTGGTGAGTTTTTTCTTGCAGCAGAGAGAAGTGTTCCGAAGAGAGAGGCATGATGAACATTACGTAGTGCTGGTTCTGCTGGTTTTCGTCAAATGAGTTGATGAAAAAATCACGGAACTCATGAAACCTACGATGCGACTAACGAATCGGCAGTCCTCATTTCGTTTTTGAACTCCCAGATGTAGACATGAGATTAGAACCATTTCATCACCCCTTGAATCTGTTGCCGCAGCACTCTAGGAACCTTAGTCCTTAGACAGTTTTCTTCATGTCAGCAGAAGAAAAAACTCCAAGTAGGTAGTCTTCCAACTGCGCTTGAACTAATGAATAAACTAGCATTCTGTGTTAATCAAAAACAATTACAGACCAATATGAGTTTCCAGGCCTGGAAGAGTACCGCATGTTTTCTGCAGGAGGCCGTTTGCTTTTTTCTGTTTTTGATGAAAGACTATCAGCGACTAACCTGCAGATTCTGCATCTTTGAAAGTGGACATAACCATAAATAATTTTCACATTCAGAAGTAGACGTGGAACTTATTTGTTGAGAGCACCCCTCAGTCGTCTACATACTTCCATTCACTTGATTGAATGCCGTGTCCTAAGACTAAGAAAATTCGGTTAACAGTTAACCATCTTGAGGTCCCTCGCAAGAGCCAGATTCGTGGAGTGATGAACGTATAAATCTGATCGCTTTTGATTACAACGTCTATAAAACGTTCTCTGTCAGCATCTTATTAAGTACTCTTTTTCAACAGGGTAATGCCGAACAGTTCTTACTGATGTTGTCAAAAATCCCCTGTCTTTTGGAACGACTCAAGCTTTGGATTTTCACACTTGATTACAAGACAATGGAGAAGGTCTGTAGCGAGAATTCATAAATTTTTTTTAGAGTAATGAAAATCATTCGTTCTCACATTATTATGTTTTCTTGGGAATTTGGTATATCGTCGTAGTTTGTTCAGGATATCGCGGAACCATTGATGGACCTTCAGTTAGCTATGAAAGAGATGGAAGAATCGAAGACATTCCGTAAAGCGATGAGCATCTTCCTTGCCATAGGCAATACACTCAGCGGAACTGAGGTCAGCGGTGAAAGGCCTTTATTTGACCACATGATCTAGAAGAATTTATTCATACTAACAGGATGCCTGTCTTCTTCAAGAATGAAAATGTGGTGTGAGACATTACTTGCCTGTATCTTTAAACTGCTTAATTTCATCTAGTGTCCTGAGTGCGCTTTTCAGTGGTTTACCGTCTCATCGTAGCTGGGAGGTGTTCCTGGATGTCGTACTGCGATGTGCACTGGGGGGATTCATCTCCCCGGCAGGTTCTCCCAAGCTGACAAGCTGTCCGGCGTTTCTGTCAGGTAGTCTAGCTAAGAGCAAACCGATACCAAGATCCAGCACCGTCCTGGTATCAAATTAGTCGCGTAGTGGCAAATCTCCCTCTGATCCGCAAGGGCTGCGAGTGCCTATTGGTGATGACAACCTGGGGCAGACTTTGGCCAGGCTAACCTCTGGATTCCTGGGAACTACAAACCAGTCTCCTAAAAAATTAGAGATTATGCTAAAGTCCGCACAACCAGTGAGGATGAGCTATCTAACTATCCAAGAATGCGCCTTCATTTTGTTGACTCTGATGTAAGAGCGCAGTTCGACAGGAATTCTCACGGAACCTGCCTTCATATATCACAATGTTCTTCTAGTTAGGTGCATTTCAACAAAGATCGGACGGGCATTCGTTTTTTGAAATAGTGATAGTACCGTACAGTGCGAAATTTTAAATGTGTTTAGTGTTCGGTGAGGTTGAATTTTCCCTTTAGAGTTTTTTTTAAATATTTGAACGTCATGTACCACCTTTAGATCAAAGGTTTTCAACTGGATTATCTCGCTAAAGCGTCTGAGGTCAAGGATCCGGTTTATAAGCACACATTGACATACCATTTAGCGGAGTACATGCTTGAGCACTATCCAGAAGGCTCAGATCTCTACACCGAGTTCGGAGCCGTCGCCAGAAGCGCAAGGGTCAGTTACGTTTGCCACAATTTCTGGCTATGATATAGGGATTAATAATGTAATATATGCGATCTCTGAATGATCTCATCTGCCCAGCATGTTCTCACGTTTCAGGTCGATTACAAGGAGTTGTTTGATAATTTAAAACGACTCGAAAAGGAATGCAAGGCGAGCTGGGACTACTTGGCAAAGGTTTCTTTTTCGAAGTATTGCAAAGATTCAGAATAAACTGTTACGAATATTAGAAATACTACTTTGCTATATGCCAGTTAATGTTTTTTCGACTTCTGCAAGATGGATTATCACCATAAAAGCAAATAATTCTGGGTGGTAAAAGCGAATAAGGATAAAGCTTTCGGCGCTGATCAATCCTTGATGAATGTGCTATGCAGTCGACTTCATTAGGCACCGTTGGAGGTGATTGAATGCATATCTGAACTTTACAATAACTCGCAGTGGCCTACCGGTGTATCGAGCCAGTGCTGGTATTTTCCCAAACAAGTCTGGTACCAATTTTCAGACCCCGGAGAATGGAAGGCTTGGTGATCCATGGGCGTGGGGATCGACCAACTCATGTGTATTGCAGAGCGCCTCCAACCTCTGCCCCACACACGCCCTCTGGGTGGTAATAACCCGATAACTATCCTGTATCCTAAAGTGCTGCCCATGAATCCACTTTATTCGTGTAGAGCTTCACTCCAGTAGATTCCGGTCGATGTGACTACCAAGACCTGCATCAGGAATAGCTGCTGTAGAAACTCGATTTGAACCAATGACGCTCTAAGGAAGGCGATGACACTGATGCATTAACCACAAGAAATGCTTCCAACAACTTCTTGCGAGCTTATCAGTAAACCAAGGCAATCGGGAAGGAAATGTGTAAGCACCTTTGTCTGTTCTCAGATCGCAAAAAACGACAACTCTTCGATGCGACAGAAAATCAACGACTACCTTACCGATGTGGCACAGCGCATACATCAGTTGAATACCATATACAATGTCACCAGGAACAGGTAAACGCTGTTCAAAGACTAGAGATAACGTCTTCTAGGTTAAAGATAGTTGTAGTAGTGGTTGTTGTCCCTCTAAAATTCCTGATTTTTCGTTTTGCTAAAAGGTGGCACCCTTTTCTATGTGAATCCAATTAGTACAATGTAGAATTGGTAAGTCTGTAGATGTTTACAAGCCCTTTGCGTCGTTTTCACTTAGATGAGTATTTAACGTCCCTTAGTGACTATCCGCCTTGATTTTGTTTACTTTGGTTGTAATTAAGAAAGATCGCCTTAGCACTTTTTTGATGGTGCAGAAAACGGCATTGAACCAAATTAGGCAGTAATTAAAGATTAAACCATTTCGATTTCGACTGCAGCTTCAGCTTAACAGGGTTAAATGCCGATTTGTGGTCCCCAGATCATTCGCGTTGACGAGTGAGTGCGGATAGTACCACTAGCGTAGAAATATTTATATCTCAGCGCACTTCTAGTTAAAACTTGTTAGTTGCAAATTATCTTTATCGAAAGTGATATTCGTTTAAGATGGCACGGCTTTCTGCTGTACTTTGGTTATTCAGTCAACGAAATACCCGATCAGAATCCTAACGAAGTTTTCAAAATGGTGAGTGTTCTGTAGAGTTCATCATTTTTATCTATGGTTATTTTTCCACAACAGGTAACGGAATTCGCACTTGAGTACCGTACTACTCGAGAAAAAATTCTTCAACAACGTAAACGAATGGCCGAAAAACGCGAAAGGAATAAGACGAGGTGTGTGGATCGCCAACATTCACCGATGGCGAAAGTCGTTGAAATGTACTCGAGATTCTGAGACCTCCTGTGTTTCAGGGGTAAGATCTGGGCACTCGAAGGAGCTACAGATAGTGCTGATCCCAATCATCGGCGAAGGCCATCACAAAACGGACCAAATTCTTTGCAGGTTACTTCGAATTCCAAGCGTGTTTTGGTCTTTTTGTTTAAGAATTCATTACCGAATTCTTTAATCAAAAACTTTGTCCTCATTCAACAGATTTACAGATATCGTCTAAAGAGTATGACTTTCCCTATAGTGGAATTATCAGTGGTTTGCTGCTGATGGCAAAGTAGTTTTTAGTCAATAAGTAGTAATAAATGAGATGTCAGACCACTAATATGAGTTGCTTCCAGCGGCATGAGGAGATGTCCCGCATGTTGAGCAGTCTAGCCGATGGAGGTGACGGGACGCTGAAGCGACGAGTAAGGCAGCCTGGCGATGCCACCAATCCCAACAAAGGCAAGTTAACGAACAATTCATGATTTTCATCAGGGAGAAATGAAGAATCACAATGCCACCTTCTATTTCTGGTAGCGCAGTTGAGTTGGACTGGTTGAATTACAGTTTTCAGTATGCCGTCTTAGATAGAATCCAGGATAGACTACGACGCTTCATTTGGAATTTACCCTTCTAGATGTGTGAATTTCATATGAGTCATTCCATACCATAGTTTACTTCGCATGTATACAATTGCTTCCATTAAGCGTCTCTCGAGCACAATGCTGTAATTGACATGGGAGAAAAGTTGTCAACGTTAGTAAACACTATTCACTCATCCAGTGCTCATTCGAATTCGAATTTTATTCCTAGGCCGGTGTGGATCGTCCAAGGCGATGGACCGTTATTGCCACTTATTTTGTGTTATGTTGCAAACAACGATTTCTACTTCAGATTTGCCCGACATGGCTAACGATTCTCCCGAAGACGAAATTCTTAATGGACTTGTTAAAGCGGCTACTTTGCAGTCGGAAACGCGGGATCACCGACGGAAAGCACGACAGTTCAATCGAAAATCACGTAAGTTGATCGCATGTGCTGCTACTTTGATGTAGAATAACGTGAAGCGAGACGTTTTTTGTATGTCTACAATGTTGTTTCTCCTACTAAACCATGTACAAATGTTTGAAAAAAGCCTCAGAATTCTGTGACGACCAACATGGATATACCAAAGTCTGGGGACGCGTGTGTCGCAGTGGTCGGAAGCACCCTGCAGCACACATGGTATCGATCCCACGCCCGTAGCCCACCAAGCTTTCATCAACTAGCGTCGGCAAATTGGTACTAAACTTCTCTAGGGGAGTAGCAGCACTGGCTCGATACATCGGTAGACCACCGCGAGTCATTGTAAAGGCTACATCTGCATCCAATCACCTCCAAACGATGCATAGTGAAGCCGAATGCATGGCGCATCCCTCAGGGATTGACCAACGCCGAGAGCTTTATCCTTTTTATCCTTTTTTATACCAAGATCTTCCGAAAACAGAGCTCCATTCACATTGTCCTAAATGGGTTGATGTACTTGTGTTAATAATACGTTTCTAAACAATTTTCTGTAGCTTTTGATGTCAGGGAAGTAACTGGAGATTTTATCATGTATATACGCCTATTTTAGTACGGCGCACAAGAACTCTGAAGCTTGTGGATGGCCAACTGGAGACGAACTATTAGCTAGCTAAGAACTAGATTCGTAAATCATACTCGCATCCATTCTAGTCGCTGTACACTGCCTATCTATAATTGTTGCCATCGTAATTCTTCTATGATTGAAAATTTCGCGCTGGAATTGGCTTTCTCGTCATCATCATTGTTGTTGTTATCATTGTCACCACTATCATCGTCATAGTGTTTATTGTCATTGTCACTATCATCGTCGTCATCAATATGTTCCTCACTGTCGTTATTATGAAATTGTTGGTCATGACTGGTATGTTCTGAGTAGATCTTCCTTTTTAGAGAGAAGTCTGCATAATTTTCAAAGTCATTCTTTTTATTCAACCCTTCTCTTCCTCGCTCTTTGCTTCATTCTCTCCTTTTTCTTTCTTTCCCTCTCTCTCTGTTCCTCTCTGTCTCTCGTTTCATCATTTTGTTTTCGTTGTTTTTCAGTTCATTCTCACTTCGATCAAGACCTGTGTTGTCCATAGTGAACTGATGATGTGCAGAACCTATCATCCTTCACTGGAACTGGAAGTCTCCCCTCTCTTGAACCACTTGACAAGTGCCCTGTGAGATTTACATCTGCTACGCATTGTTGTACAGAGAATAAATTAAATAAATTTTATATCTTATATGTTATGCACATTATCCTGCGTTCTATAAGGATGAAGGATAGTAAGATAGAAAAGAAGTTTTATACTCTGAACGAATAGCATTGCATGCTTCCATGTGCTGATCAAAAGAACATAATCTTTAGAATGTTAGAAACATATCGCTATCACCAAAGATTCGAAAGAATCTGTACAGTACTAGTTTATAATAATTGCCGATAGGTTATGCTAACTTCAACGATGTAAACCTCCTAGTGAACCTCAAAAACATCACGGGCGTGCTATGTGCGATGAGAACAGGAGGAGAAACCGGTAGTAAAAATTTGACAAACCATTTGTTGACTTCCGCATTACAAAGAAGAACGGACGCAGTTGGATATATATATACGAAATCCTCAAATGTTTACTGCCTCATCGTGGGTTGGGACGTCTCTGGGTGTAGAACTGCAACGAGAAGATTCACCCTTTTCTCCAGTAATATCTAAAAAAGATAGAGGCAGTGCTCTGTATCCCGTCTTGGACAAAATGGATAAAATCCGGTTGTTTACAGGCATACCCCATTCTTATTCAAAGTAATCAATAAATATCTTTCGTGGCGACTTGGGAAAGACGTAGCATTGCTTGCTACAAAAATACATTTCGTCAAACCATTAAGTTTCCACAATCACGAACGAACTTATAAACACTACTGTGAGAATCCTGGGAGTTACTGCATTTTCAAATAGCATATTCAAGATAGTCGACCCCTTATCCTGTTGTATACATTTTTATGAAAAGGGAAATAACACTTTCCAATACGACCCAACGTCATATATTGCGCAGATCGTTCACGCGCATCAACAATCCACAAACGTTATCAGTTGCGCGTAGGTTCAACTTCTGCTCGAGGATTTCTGGGCATTTTTCATGGATATCGTCACATGCTGATTCTTCCACAAATACTGAGGTAGAAGTGCAAGAGGGTTGCCTGGTTTTCACCAGAGCTAGGCCATATCTGTGCAATGGAAGGAGCCGTTTCTCAATATATCTTACAGCAAGTTTCTAACCTTTTACGGATAGGATCGTTGGTTGGCCCAGGCTGGGTCAAATCAGTTTCTTGCGGTTATTAAAAGGCATCTTTACTAGTGGGATATCCAGGTTATCTAAGAATCCATCGAAATTCGTTGTTATGCTAGACTTTCTCAATGAACTATAAAGATCTCAGTGGTGAGATATCCACTGCATGCGGACCCGGTCACATTGACCCTCCCACCCTTTCGTGGACAGCAAACCAGATTTGACTGACTGACTTGACTTAAACGAACTTGTTACATGAATAATTCATCGTAAGCCATTGCATAAACCAAATATGCCTTTGATCACCATTACGATACCCAATGAAGTTAATTGCATAGCGCGTCCTTGAGGGAACAATTACGGACGCATTGATCCGATGAAGGAAAGAGAAAATCACGCAGCAAACAAAAAAAGTGCAGAAACGATAGCGTTTACGAACAGTAACATCATCTATGTCGCAAACAGTTTCAAATCAGGTTATTTTACCCAGTTTCACAATCACAACGCTACCAACTTCTCTTCTTTTCCATTTTCACCATCTGCGTGGCAACATCCGGTTTTTTTCTGATTTGTCCACATAGCTCCTAGAAAGGAACAATGGTAATATAGTGTCTTTCCTGGAAAACAGAATACTTAGGCTCGAGAAATGCGCTTTGGTGCTGAACAGTTTGAGTGGTTGTCAGTCAACTTTAAGCCCTCCGAGTTCGTATCGTAATGGTAAAGAAGAAGACTGAAAAGATAAATCTTTTACTTCGAGCGTTACATTTTACACAAAAATAGCAGCAATCAGAACAAGGAAGGTCTATAACTTCATGAGCTGAGAAAGCGCTTATTTATTTCCTTGATCATTGAATACACTCCGAGACTGGTCAATGCAAAGGATGGTAATCCAAGCGGCACTGGGGACAGAAGCAGCTCATATTTTTTTTAATATATATATATATAACACCTGCATCACCTGTAGTCCCGTTGACCGTCGAGTGACTCGAGCGGTCGCCAGGAAATCTTCCATTTTTCTCTGTCACGCGCAAGAATAGCCCAGCGGGTTATACTCGCTCTAGAGACTCGTCGAGTATCGTATCTTTCTTCAAGGGTCTTTGTGAAGAACTCTGACCATCGGGGCGGTGGTCTTCCTGCAGTACATTTGACATCACGGGGAATACAGTCACTAACGGCTTTTGTCCATCGGTTGTCATTTATACGCATTACCTGTCCGGCCCATCTCATCTTCGACTGTTTGGCGCACAGAACGGCATCTTTGATTTTTGATCGTTGACGCAGATCGGAGTTTAGGATCCCATCCCTTACTTGGGTGAAACGGGATACTCCTAGCATCATCCTTTCGACTGCGCGTTCGATAACGCTGAGTGATCTTTCATCCTGCGTACGGAACGACCAGGCTTCTGACGCATACGTTAAGGCAGGAAGTACCGTTGAGTCAAAAAGGTGGGCACGGAGTCGGGCGTTCTTTGTTCTCTTCAATACATCCTTGACGCTCTTGAAAGCTCTCCAAACCGCTTGTTTCCTTCTGCTCAGCTCTGGAGCTAAGTAGCTCACCATATTGATTTTCCGACCTAGATAGACATAACTAGAGCATTCGGAGATATTCGTTCCGTTGAGCGTGAGTGGTGCATATGGAACCAATCCGTTCTTCATGAACATCGTTCTTGTGAGATTTAGTCGAAGACCAATATTTCCACAGGCTTTATCAAAGTCGTCAAGCATTCGTTTCGCTTGACTAATATATATATATATATATATATATATATATATATATATATATATATGCATGGATCCAAAGAATGGTACACTGGACAAAACAAAAATGTTACTTGCTTTGGTGTACGATGTATTCTATGACGATGATGAATACCTAGTTCTCAGCATGGAGATCGATCCGATGAGATAGTAATGAAAAAGTGGGAAACTAAGAACATAAAAGGAGAAATTAGAGCTTTGTTATCGAATTACAAATTGCGCGAGAAGCATAGACTCTAAACTAAGAGCCATTCATTCAGTCACTAAGAAGGTACATATCTGCGGAGCTTTCAGATCCTGACTAGATTCAAAAATTTCTTTTCGTACTTAGATGGCGTATGTACGCAGTTTATCTGCCTCAATTTCTACAGAAGGCCTTTTTGAGAAGAGTGGTTAAGTTAATGATTCAGTTAAGTTTTATACAGGTAAAACCACAATGATGCTGAGATATTTGCAAGACTCCGGAATGCAAGTGTTCGTGGTGGGGAGCGAACGCGCTGTCACCCTCTCCGGTGCCTAACGCGTTCACCATCACACCATGCTGGCCCTTCGTTTCGCCTGCCTTCATTGCCGATTTGGGGTCCCCAGCTCATTCGCGTTGACGGGTAGTTGCTGATGTTGCTAATCGATAGAACTAGCTGAGAGACAGGCGAAACGAAGGGCTCTCGTGGTGTGGTGGTGAACACGTTAGTCACGTTAGTCCCTCCCTGGAGAGGGTAATAGCGCATTCGTTCACCACCGCATTCACCTGCAGTCCGGATTTTTGCAAATATCTCAGCATCATTGTGGTTGTATCACACATAATACCCTGCCGTGAAAAAATGTAATAGGCAGTAAATAAAAAAGCTAACATTATTATACAGGTAATTCTTTATGGCTTTCCAGATAGTAAGGCTGTTAAGTCGCACTTTATTTATAGAATATGAGTTGTTAATGGTTGTGAGACACGTCCACATGACGTGCGCAACAAAACG